ATATATATGTATGTATGTATGTATGTATTTATGTATGTATGTATGTATGTATAAAACTGAAAAATTGCAGCGTGCATGTACTTTAACACCCCCAATGGGTGCAACAAAACACACAAATGGTTTTATTGGGTAAGGATTTTATTTTTGTTCTTTAAAAAAAAAGAAAATCTAGCATTTTCAAATTCAAGGTAGAAATGTTCACAGAAATGTTGTTTTATTAGCCTTGTACAAAGAAGCAGTAAATCAACAACAGACTGTTTTCAGTCTTTTTTTCACTGCATAGTAATTACATCCTAAAGGGATAGTTCAGATCTTCTGACATGGGACCCTATTGGAGGATTGAGGACTATTAGCAGACTTGTTTAAAGAAAGGAATGTCCAATCCTGGTCCTTGAGGGGCCACTATCCTGCATTATTTAAGTGTTTCCCCTGTTCCGGCACACGTGTGTTGGAGGAGGGGAAACAAGTGAAACATGAAGGATAGTGGCCCTCAAGAACCAGAACTGGACAACTTTGTTTGAAGGCAACAGCAATCCACTTTAGTCTGACCCTTCTTTGACTAGCAGTTAGTTCAACAATCTGGTCAGAATTAAACTCAATGTCTTCAAACTCAAGTTACTCAAAGATTCACCTAGAACAGGTGAGAGATTTATTGTTCACAACATTTTCACAGGTTCCAACTTCAAAAGAGCTGAACTTTTCCTTTAAGTCTCTAAATAAGTTTTTAAAAAACAATATCTTAAATATATTTTACCTTGGTTTGCTGCAATTTATCTTTAAAAATTAACACTGGAAAAACCCGGAACCATGTTATTTACATATGACCCCATGCTATCTGCATTGTATTTTTTAAGTTGAGTGATTTTCAACTTTAATTTCTCATGTTGATTGAAGTAAAATGGCTTTCAGCTTAATAATGTAGCAGCACATACATCAACTGAAGCTGAGTCACAGTGACTCACCAACAAACAAAAAAAAGACTCAATAGGTGCAAGTGACTAAGAATACATGGAACAATTTAATAAAATCTACTTCAGGGCTGCTTGTTTAAATTAAGTTTGTAAGGAAGTCCTTTGTTGCCACTTCAAAAAAAAAAACTCATAGCATGTCATAATTGGGACTTTTAAAGAACAGAAGAGATTTAAGGTTTTACTATTTTTACAAGCAAAAGGAAGACAGAAGTGTTTTTAATATAAAACAGTGCACCGTTGTGGTTTACAGCCTCAAGAAGAACCTTAAACACAACATACGTCTAAAATATAATTAAAAATATACAGGTATATGCTGCAAGATTCAAACAGTTTGATCTGAGTTTAAAAAGAAATAAAAATTTTTTTTGCAGCAACGTATGAGCAGATTGTCCATCTTTTCAACATCTTGTTTTTCCCTGCATGACATTTATGCAAATTACAATAACTACAGAAAATTTGACACAAAATTGCAGGAGTAGTCTTTGATTTCAGACAAAGTTACATTTAAACTATTTATGAACTTCTAGTCAAACAATATTCACCGCTTTGCTTTAAACTCCATTTATTTTTTATTTTTTTAATATTTAGTTGACTGCAAAAACTTGCTTAGAAAGGCTATTAAACAGCAGGCTGACAATCAGCTGTTAGAAATGTTAGGAGCGTCTGCCTCTTTGCTCTGTCTGCAAACACATGGCAAAGAATGATGCAGGTGAAGTCTGCACGCTCCAACTTCAGTCATTCTGATTGGCTGATCGATGCGTGCATGAGAAGACAGGCTGCAGTGAAGACAGAAAACTAACACTACTCGTCATGCCCTTCTTTAACAAACATGAAACACTATTCATAAGATAGTACAATACGAGCCTATTATTCCTTGAAGAATGCATATCACCCGCTGCCTTTCAAGCCAGACTTAACATTAAAAATCTATAAAAATACTGATAGCCTCCACTCAGCGGAGACCAGAACAGAAGGACTGTTTCGTTAGTGATTTTTTAAAATTGTTTTACTAACTGTTTTTTCATCCCTCTGTGCTCTTTTGTTTAGGCGCAGATCATCTTGCTAATAGTTGGACAGAGTCCTAATGGTGCGTTCAAGTGCAAATTTTTTGCTTAGATGATGACAACGTTGCAAGACAGCAGGGAGTTAGTCTGTGGTCTGCCAAAGCCACAATAAATTAAAGCTCAGTGTGAGCTTGGGCTGTGGTAAAAGGTTGGGTGGAATAAATTAAATAACGTTTAAATAAGTAAATATATCAGATTGCTGTTATTTTATCACAGCAAAGTTTGGCTGTTCAGCTGTTATGAGAGGATGCTGTCATTGTAATTGCCTGTAAATGATCTGTTTTGTTTTAAAAAAAGTTCTGTATAAAAATACGAAGAGAGATTTTCTTTTGACTGACTACAGTAATCAAGCTGATTATTTTTCATAATTCATATTCCTTTCTTTATTGTCTCAATGCTTTTAGCTATGGCGCCCATCTTGAACGAGCTTGACAACAAAGATGTACAGTGCGTTCAATGATTCAAGTTAAACAGGTTAAACATTTTCTATGATTTAATTGGTTTCAAATCTCAGTTTAGGATGTTTTAGTGATCAATAAGTATTTTATGTCTGAACTGTCTGTGCCAATAGAAGCTGTAATGAAACAGTTTTGACTGTAAGTCATTAGTTTTGATAAGTGACCCAAAATCGATGAGTGAAGTCAGCGAGCGGTCTCACTGAGACAGACTGATTGATGAAAGGAGGACAAGAAACTGCAGCTCATTACAAGAATTTACTCCAAACAGTGAGCCTCACAGTTTCAGCTCAGTATTTATTTATTTATCCTTCGTGTCTCTGCTGTCTTTGATTTATTAGGACCGATCTGATTACCTCCCGTCTACTCATTTTATGAAATGGAACAGAGCTGATGCAAATGCATTTTAAATATCAACAAAAATAACTAAAGGTCCAGAATTCCTTCAAACACTCAGCGTTTTGATCTAAAATAATCTGATGTTGGAAATGATGGCGTTAGGTTTCACGAGATGTTTTAGCTCTCTGGGAGTGTGTTGAGGATGACTCTCAGCTACTACTACTTTAGCTCGATATTTGTAAAGTACACTAAGCTATAGCTGTTTTGTGTTGGCTAAAATAAATTAGCTGGTGGTCATCTCGAATGGGACTGACTCTACAGGTTAATCCCGTGTAGACGTACAAGTTAAATATTTTCTGAGAGTTTCATAATCCAACCAGTGGTTCAGGAGTTATTTTGCTAACACAGCAGACAGATGAATGCACTTGCAAATGCAGATACAGACTTTATTGACTACCGCGATGGGTTTCAATATTAATTAGAATAATACTGACACTTTATGAAATGTACTCAGTGATTTAAAAGCTCTTAAATGCCCAAAGATCACAACAGAATGTGGATTTCCTACAGAGTGCGCAACTAATATTGTATTTCTATTTGGTATATACAAAGTATTTGCTGTAACAAAGAAAACACCAACATTAGATAAACTGATCACGCAGTTACAATCTCCAAACTTTAATTTCACCAACTTGAAACCAGTAATAGTCATTAATTTAAACCATTTGATTTTCATAAACTGAAAAATAATCACTGCAAAAAAGAAACCAGTTGATTTCAGATGAATTGTCATTCTTTTAAAATATTTATTTTTAAAACATGTTTTTTAATGTGTTGTACTGACAAACAGACAACTACCTGAATTTTTTGGGGTTCCTTCATCAGATTTTCTAATTTTCCTAATCCAAGGTGTCGGGCTCAGCGTCCATGCAGGTCTCCCAGGGGTTCCGGGGCATGTGGGGCATGGAGATGAGGAGCAGGGCTGCTCCGCTGAGGATGAGCAGGGTAAAGGAGGCGCAGGCGCAGGTAAATGACCAGGAGTAATAGTATTCGATCCAGATGGTCTCGTCACTGGCGATCATTCTCTTGACAGACTGACGCATCACCTCGACAGAAATGATAATGCAAAGGCCTGCGTGGCAAAAAATCAGAAATGCTAGATTTTATGTGCTGTTCAAAGATTTTGATTTAGTAAGGCTGAATACAGCATGCCACACAGACACACAAATAACCAGCTTTGTTGTTGTTTTTCTATCAGCCGTTTCCTTCTGCAGGGGGTCGCTACAGCGAGCAAAGTTGCATGAAAGATTTGGTACTGTACTTTCCACCATACACGTTGCGCTGCTGTATAAGTTGCATCGGTCCAAATATGTCTAATAAAGTGGAAAAATCCATAAATATGTTGCTTCGCTGTATACATCACATTTATTACGCGTCACCGCTGACAACCCGGAAACATGGACCAGTGTTGTGCCAAAAATCGATTGGCTGCCAATTGGCGGCTGCAAGAGCGTGCATGGGAAGACTTTAACAAGAATTTAACAAGATTAACACTTAAAAATAATTATTTGTTTGCTCGAAATTATAGTAACGGTGTGTCTCAGTTGAACTTTCCTTAATAAATGCATATTGATGGTCAAATCAGCTGCTTTTCAAAAATAGATATACAGTTACAAGAGCGTGAAGACGGAGGACTTGCTGTGCATTTTTTCAAAATTTAATAAAATAACAACCTAAAAACAATTATTTGTTTGCTCGACATTATAGCAAAGGTGTGTCTCAGTTGAACTTTTCCTTAATAAATGCACTTTAATGGTCAAATCAGCTGCATTTCACCTGGGCAGCGCAGCAAAATGCAGCTGATTTGACATTTGCTCCAAGAGTTCTGGAGTGAGATGAAGGTGACCTGTATGGCAAGCCAAGTGTCTCATTAATAGCCACTTTTACCTATTAATGAAACACTTAGCTTGCCATATTACTCCAGGGCCCTCTAGCGGCTGAAAATGGTACTGTTCAATATTTTCCATGTCAGGATGTATGAAATAGTCAGATCCCAGCCAAAAATTGAGTTATAAATATGGAAAAAAACATAAATACGTTGCTTCGGTGTATAAGTTGCAGGGCATGCAAATTTATGCAAAAAGGTGTAACTTATACGACGAAAAGTAAGGTAATTGTTTTTATGCCGGATGCCTTTCCTGATTTAATCTGAGCTCTAACGAGCAGATGGTTCAGTAAGCAGATTACAAACTATAAATTATCTGCATGAAAAACTTTTCTTTCTGAACAAAAGGCTCTGCAGTGTTTGATACCAGGCTGATGTATGAAACAAGAGCCAACTGTCTCTGTTATTGCTGCCGTCTGTCACATCTGACCTGCAAAAGCAAAGAACATCCCAGCAGGCCGGAGCAAGTAGTCTCGCCCCTTCCCAAAGGAGAAGATGACACACAGAGTGCCCAGGATCATGAAGAACAAACTGAAGATGGCGATGGCTGCTGCTGAGATGTTGTACTCTGGGGAGAAAGGAGACAATATGAATAAGGAAAGAAGAAGAAAAAAAGAAACAAAAAACAAAACATGAAAGAAATATTATGTATTAAGGGTTGAGAATGTAAAATCAAAAAAATTGAAAAAGAGGTGGAAGAGACAGACAAATCAGCCTGGTGATTACAAACTGAGACAGATGGGGGGCTTGTCGTATCATAATGTGTTTCAGCGTAACACTCAGCTGAGTTATGACACAGATAATTGGCTTTTAAATTAGTCCCACTTTCAAAAAAGCAACACACATCTATAGCAAACCAGCAATAAAATCATTTATATGACAGAGAAGATGCTGCAGGCTCAGAACAAGATGATTAGACCGTGTCTCTCCTCCCACCCCCTCCACTTTTGTTTGTTTCAGGAGAAGAATCTAGACTTTGTCTTGGTGTAAAACTCCAGCTGAGATAAAAACGATCCTCGGTCTGTCCTGCTCACATCCAACACCCTGACTGTGGAATAATGTCGGCTGCAGAACATACGCACAGCCAGCCTTTTCACACAGAAGTGGGTTACTTTTGTCCTTCTTACTCTAATATATTTATATAAACTTCGCACAGAACGTAAGAAAAAATATGTATGGTTGATTATTCCTTTTTTCTAACAACTCCTCTTGACAATAAATCTTATAAACTTGAAAAACCTGTTTATTTTCTGCTTAAATGGCACCATATTTGTTAAGAAAATGTATTTGTGTGTGAAGCAGCAGCTGAGTTTACGGGTTGTGCTCATGAAAAACAATTTTAGTTTTATCTAACAAAGTCCTCTGGACAGCTTCTTTTCGTTGGATATGGATTTGTCTACCTGGATTATTGAGCATGAATCAGGATATTTCGAACCACTTTGGCCATGACTGCCTCAAACGAGTCGGCGGGGGAGAGGGCGGACTCCAGAAACCATCTGAGCACCACCAAACTGGTTGACCCACTTTGAGAAGGTGCTGTTTATAAGACTGGGTTTGTTGCGGCTTTTCAAACTGATGAAGTCGTTTGGATTAAAGACAAAACGTTTCAACAAAAATAAACTGTCCAGAGCAGTGATTCCCAACACTGGTCCTTGAGGAACACCATCCTGCATGTTTTAGTTGTTTCCCTGCTCCAACACACCTGATTCAGTGATTTAATTACTTCCTCTTGGTTTGTAGATGCCTGTAAATCACTCATTAATTAAAATCAGGTGTGTCGGAGCAGAGAAACAACTAAAAACATGCAGGATGGTGTTCCTCATGCACCAGGGGACCTGACTTAACTTTTTTTGATTTTTCTATCTGGATTACTGAGCATGAATCAGGAAATTATAGTTTTAGTTGCATACGTTTCCTCTAAATTTTGTCACGTTTATTATGTTTGAATTATTTGCCCCAGGTAAAACTAAAATTGGAGTGTTTCTTAGGTCTGAACTCTATTTTAACATGTTATAAAAACTGGAAGGCTTCAGCCATTCTGGTTTTATTAAAGGTTTTCAGGAGTCCTCATTTTTAAAAACTGGATTGGATTAAAAGTACTTAGATGAGCTATTATTTTTAAGTGTCTTTTTTTTTTTCTTTTTTTTTTTACTATTTTTGCAGCTTTTCAAACACTGTCTTTGCAATGAGCCCTGTAATCAGTATTGATCAGTGTTTCAGTGACAGCAGCTTCTTAAACCACAGCTGGAAGTGTGAACATCTGCATGATGAAACTCGTTGCTTTTGCTAAAAAAATTCTGCAAATTCCCTGCAGATTTATTCTGAAAGCATTATACCTGCATGTTTATCTCCGGACGTCTGATGGTATCTGACATTTCCATCAGTTTCTTGCAGTTTGTGCTTTTTTCTAAATAGTTTTTCCTGCTTTATTGGAAGGTTTTTTTCCACTTTAATGAGCCAAAATTACTCATTTATGGTTTATTGTGTTTGTCTAAATTGCAATATGAGTGAAAATTTTGTTTAAATTGTTCCTTCACTCATATATATATGGGTCAGTCTTTATAAAAGAATAGTTTGTGATTGCGCCGATCGATTACAAAACAATGGAAGAGACTTGTTTTATATTTAAACGTCTTCTACTGCAATATATTGAGGAGTAAACGCAGAATGATTTGTAGTTTTGTAATCTTTAAGTTTTAAATGCAATATTTTCTTCTGGCATTGTGAGGCACATACAGTATATGTCTAAGTGAGAGTGTAACAACGTAGAACAGGTTTCTTTATTACATGTGCACCCTTTTGCTTCTTGCATCAGTTAAAAATCCATCCAGGTTTTTTTTTTTATATGGTTTCATGCTGTGAGCTGAGGACGCACCCACCTTTCTGGGTCTTCACTTCAAAAACCTCGGCTTCCTCGCCCGATGTGAAGTGCTTGAAGTAGGAGCAGTTTTTTGCTGAAAAGTGAAAGACAGGAAGGGCAACAGAAGGATGATGAAGAGGAGGTGACAAAGAGAGACAGGAAGAGAAATGAAACGTGAGAGGGAGAAAACAGATTGTATCCCTTTGTGCTTCCAAAGCAATAATAAAAAAAACCCTGTGAATCCTATTATCAAGCTAAAAATGTCACGTGTAGAATATGTTATTGAGGAAAACACAACGATATGTGTTAAACCTAAGAATTCTGGTTTAGTGTGAAATAAACCTTGAAAATAGTTGTTAAAACTTGATCAGTTCTTGTGTAGAATTAATGAGTGGGTGAACAGTAATAAATAAAAAATAAACCATGAGTATTTATTTTAGTTTTCTACGTCCTGATTTGTTGTCTCCTTAAACTCAGTTTACTACTACAGTACACCAAATTGAGCTCAGTAATTGAAAATATCAGTTGAGTTGAGGCCACATGGTTGTAACTCATCTTTGAACCAGTCTTGCGCTGTTGACTCGTGCATTCATGAACTCTTATTATATTGCAAATGACGTCTCTGCTCATATCTCTCTGGTACGTAGCACAAATCGCTTTCTCTAGAAGAAATGTTCTTCATGCCTTTCCCAAAGTATTTGCAGCTCTTTAGACACACATTCAAGCACATTATTTGAGTTAATAATGTTATTAACTTACTTTTTATGTATATGAAGGTTTTTGTTCAGTGCCCTGAGATGACTTCTGTTGTGACTTGGCGTTGTATAAATAAACTGAAGTGAATTGAATTTGTCTTCAAATGAGACATAAACACAAATTATAAAAATCATAATGAGCTGATTTGTCTTGTTATAAAAGATTAAGATATAGACCACCTTACTTTGATTTAATTCAGACGTTACTTATCTACTGTAACGTTTTGAAGGGAGTAATACATAATACAGACCAGAACACGTATTTGCAGAGTCCATGCCACGTACTTACCAGGTATGTAAAAGGGGCATACTGTACTTGAAGTGTACTGTGCAAGTCCTGAGTACATACTGGGTACTTACCTGGTAGTTCAGTGTAATAGGCACTTACGTGGTAAGGAAGTATCCTTACATGTTAGTATTCACTTTGTATATGCCAAATACATATAGGGTGTGTACCTGGTACATATGCAGTGCATACCTGGTACCTACCAGATAAATACTGTGTACACACCTGATAATTTCCAAGTTTGTACCTGGTATGTACTAGTACCTGCTTTGTAGAGACCAGGCTGTATTAGGAAGTGACATGTAACTTGGTGGTGTGAGTGAGAGAGTGAATGGTTGTTTGTCTTGTTTGTTTCTGTGTCCCTGTGATGGACTGGAGACCTGTCCAGGGTGTCCCCCGCCTCTCGCACAGTGATAGCTGGACACGGGCACCAATGACCTCCACAATCCAAAAAGGAAAAAGTGGGTAATGATAATGGATGGATGGATGGATGGATGGATGGATGTTATTTGGTACTTCCCATACCTGTAACTTGCAGGTACATTCCCATTATGTACCTTTAAGTATCAGGTACGTTTTAGGATGTGTTATACGTTGCTACCATGTAATCACTTCCTCGTTTTTAGACCTGCTAAAAATGAACTTGGACTAGTTTGCACATCCCCTGTGGTTGTTTGATCACAGTATGCTCTATACTCAAATCACAGCATTCAGTAAGTTTCTGTCATCTTAAAAAATACAGTATCTTAAATCTTTCACTGTCCTCCATTTAACAATTTCTACACTGAGTTTAACTACGTGTTTCTGTTTGCCCAACCTCTACTCCTTTGACCATCATCGGTGATAAAGCTTCATAGCTATAAAGAAATGATTCTAGGTGGGGCAGTCATATCTCCCCCATCCATCTTTTTTCCTGGCTCTAAAGGCATCTGGGCTGAGGGGAAACTGTACGGAGGACTTAAAGGCCAAAGTAAGTGTTCCTTCTGTCCCATGCTTGCCATCCTTTCTCTGCTGAGATTAAACCCATAAAGCAGACAGGTGCTCTCTCATTCTTCGTAGATAGGGACAGACGGAGTTAGTGTGTCGTGTGTGCGCACACGCGTACGGTCGTGTTTGTGTGCATCGAGCAACAGAGGAGCTGTTTGTTACCCAGGATGAGAAAGAATCACTAAACGGGTAACCTAGCAACAAGCTGCTGCAGGTCTCAGCTAGTTCTATCTATTTACACATGTACAGGCATATATCAAGAGGACTGTGAGTGTGTATGCACGTGTGCAAGGATGTTTGCGTGTGAGAGTGTGTGTGTACACAAATTATAGGGCAGAGCCACAGTGCAGCTGAGATCTGCAAAAATATTATTTTCATTAGTCTTCTCATTTGGTGTTTTTACCTCTGGGTGCAGGGATAATCTAAGCCAATATGTGTTTGGGTGCAGTTATGTACGATTCTCCAAATGCTTTGCATACAAAGAAAATGCCAAAATTATTATACAGAGAAGATTCAGGTGATTAACCGTTATTTGTTTTCTTGCTCTACAGCTGACCTTAAACTGATAACTATCAGGATACTCAAAAATATTTTTTCTTGTCAAGTGAAGGGTTGTCTTACTTATAATGGGCTTAACTTGAAGAAGTATCAACTTCCATCCACCCATTTTCTTTCCCTGCTTTTCCGATTAGGGTTGAGGAGAAACTCTGCTTTGTTAATCAGTTTCCACATGTTTATGTGATATTTTGCTAACAAACACACCGGGGTGACTCCAAAGGTTAATGCCAAAGATTAAGGAAAAGCTCTTGTGCAAAGTGTAGCCCTCTAATCCAACACAGTTCAGTCAGGTCATCTAGATAGTTTCTTTTGCTTTTTTTTTTTGAGACATTTTGCCAGAATTGTTGAGCTGCTTTTGCCACTTACTAGAAAACTGGTTGGTCCCCTACAGGAGTGTTTTGCTTGTGGGACTCAGTTTGTTGTGGCTCATCGGACTGATGTAGTCCTTTGGGTGAAGGACGAAACATCTCAACAAAATAATTAAGTAAATAAATAAAACCATCCAGATGACCTGACTGCACCTTGTTGGATTTTTTACCTGGATTATTGAGCATGAACTTTGATGTTTTGAACAACTTTAGTATGGCTGCCTCAGAGGAGTCAACAAGGCAGAGGATGGGCCCCAGAAACCATGTTATCACCAGGAAACTGGTTGGTCCACTATGGGAGTGTGCTGCTTGTGGGACTAAGTTTTTTTGTGGCTCCTTGGATTGATGAAGTCCTTTGGATGAAGGATGAAATGTCTCAAATAAAAAAAATAAATAAATAAACTGTCCAGATGACCTGACTGAACTTTGGTGGATTTTTTAAACCTGGATTATTGAGCATGAACTTCGCTGGAGCCCTCAAAGTGTGTTTATTTGATGACTCTCAGCTTCTATGGTATCAAATTTGAGTTCTATAATGGTCAAATGTTCACAAATTTTTTTCAACACTAGCGACAATCAAACACACACAATCCCACACAGACAAAAAATAAAACAATATCAAGTTTGCTACAGAAAAAAGGGGCAATAATCAAAATAGAAATACAAAGCAAAAATAAAACTTTAGACTATGACACTGAAGGTATAATATTTATGGACATAGATCATGTTTTAGTCCACGAGAAGAAAAATGCACAAACAGGTCGTGTAGTGAGTTGATCCATGACATGATTTTTTAAAACCAAACTATTAAGACAATTCAATAAAACTTTATCATTAAAATGCTAAATGCCAGTTTGCCAGTAATCATTAGTCAAGATTTTTTTAATTTCACTTGTGGTTTTTCAGAAGGTTCTGGTGGTTTCTGTTGGCTTTGTAGTGGTGAAACGCACAGCTCCATGGAAGAGGTTAAAAACAAATCTTGTATTTTCGCCTCATCAAATGGTGACGGAGAACATCTGGGTGCGTATCATCGACCTTTCCGTCTTACTAATGGGCAGATTTAGTTCCAGGGGGAGGGTGATTAGAGCAAAGTGTCGCCTGTCATTTTAGTTTCACCTCTTGCCTTTAAACTGTCGACTTGTTTCTTTGATGAGCAGCTTTTATCCACCATTTCCACACTCTGCTCTCCACATGTCTCTAAGTTCCTCACTCTAGAGCACTTCAATACTTTTGTTATCACTCGCCATCAAAAGGCGACAATGTTGTTGCTGTGTTTATTTGTCTGCTGTGTTAGTAAAATATGTTATAAGCCGGCATGTTGACGTTCATATAACTCTACCTAATAAAAAACGGCTGCTACAACTAATCAACCTATAGTTAACGCCATAGATATTGAGCTAATTTGGTGCGATAGTAGCTGAGAGTCATTTCCAACACACACTGAGCACTGGCAGATAAAGAAAGGTCTGAGTTTAACATTTTGCCATTAACTGTAGAAATCAACTCTGCAGGAAGATGGCCACCTGCATCATGAAGGACCCCACTCACCCAGCACACACACTTTTTGCCCCCCTCCCCTCAGGAAGGAGGTTAAGGAGCATTAAGAGTAGAACCACTAGACTGAGGAACAGCTTCTACCCTGAGGCTGTTAGACTCATGAATGTAACCAGAATAATCACTGTGAAAAATCACATCATGTTGCTGCTGATCTGTTTCATGTTGCTGCTGATCTGTTTCATGTTGCTGCTGATCTGTTTCACTGTTGATGTGTTCATGCCTGCTCATCTGCGCACACAGACTTGTTCGTGCTGCTGTTTGACGTAATGTATTTATGCTATTAGTGCATAGTGTATATTTAGTTGAAGTTTTTCTTAGTTCATATCTTAGATCTTATTTCTGTTTTTCTTTTAAATTTAATTGTTGGATGTAACTGGGACCCTGTGTACATAATCTCGTTCCACCACATGTACAACATGAGATGCGAATGACAATTAAATCTCTCTGAATCTCTGTTTATTAGTAAAATGTTTCATGACCTAATGGACAAATTTTAACAAAACTCTCCTAAAGTAATCATTAGCTGAGAATCTACAAACTCCACAAGCCTCTTCACAAGCTCATGTATGACATTGTGCACGTT